ACCCTTATAGATCCCTTATAGATTCCTTTAAAGGAACCCTAAGCCCCTAAACCCGAAGCCGCCCACTCCACGCTGAGGAGCACCCGGACGTGAACCCAGAGGACCCAGAGGCCGAGAAGCGAACCTTTCCTGAGAAATGGGGGTTTCCGAAAATAGGGGACCCTAAACAGGTTTAGGGGTTAGGGGTTTAGGGGTTTAGAGTTTTTAGGATTTAGGGTTTTTAGGGGTTTTAGGGTTTTTAGGGTTTAGGGTTTCTATGGGTTTACCCATAGGCTTCTAAGTAGTTCCTTTTTGTGGTTTATGTTTAGAATCCTGTAAGGTAATCCCAAAAAGGAACTAATAAGGAGCCCATGAGTGAAGAGCAGCTTAATGAAAGTGGTTTAGGGCTTAGGGTCTTAATACAGGCAGCTTTTATGCAGGCAGTTTTAGGGTTTAGGGTGTTTGCTTCACGGCGACAGCAGTTCCGGGCGAACGAAGCCTGCTGCAAAAGGGTTTAAGTCTGGGGTCTAAATGCAGGCAGTTCAGGGTTTTTAGGGTTTAGGGTCTTAATACAGGCAGTTTAGGGTTTCGGGTTTTAATTCAGTCCCTGCTCAAAAAAAAATACATGTTTGCATGGCCGGGCAGATTCTCAGTAGCACAACCCTAAGCTGTCGCACGATAATTACAAAGTTTGGGGGTTCCCGGGATTTCGGGTCCCACCAAGCTTTCAGCCAGTGCTTTTTTGTCCCGAAAGGTAGTCTGCACATTGGGGGCCTTTAATAAGAGGTTCCTACAAAGTAACTCTGGAGCCAAAGTATATACTACATAGCTACACAGACCCGTATGCCTTAAATCCTAAACCCTGATAGTAGGTCAATGCGCCTTAATTTCCCGTGTGTGACGTTCGATTTGTCTAGACTGTTCAGTCTTCGGATTTGTTCTTGTGTGTGTGTGTATGTGTGTGTGTGTGAGTGTGTGTGTGTGTGCGTGTGTGTGTGGGGTGTGTGTGTGTGTGTTTCTGTTTCCACGTCCCTTTTTCAGAGTCTTCTGCATTCGGGAGTGTGTGTGGGGGGGGCAGGGTTGGGAGGGGAGGGATAATGACGTTCGGTGTGTCTAAATCGTCCACTCTTCGAATGTGTTCGCCTTCTTCGTGGCGCTACTTTTGACGGTGAAGCTTGTCTTCATGCTGCTGCTCGTGCTTCTCTTCCTGACGGTGGTGCTGATTCTTGGGCTACTCTGACCTGGGCAGGCGAAGTACATAGAGGTTAGGTCTTGTGGGGAAGGGTCTTTTCCGATGCTTCCATACTGGAAGCATCATATTGGGGTAGTATTCTACGCCGAGAGATAGCTGAGGATTCTCGAAGCTGGTTACGGCCTACAACGCTCCACAGCTGCAGCATTGATCTGTACTCAATTCGGAAGGTCACCGAAGGGAAGGTGGCCGCATGTAACTCGCGTTTAATATGCTTCTAGTTCTGTTTTACACGTCACGGCATATGATTTTTTGCTGCTTGTCCCAGACACCCAGAGTGCCCAATACCCTTTAATTAAGGAATATACCTTAAATCATAATATTAAGGCCCCTATAGTTTAAGGCATATTCCTTAATTAAGGGCTATTGGGCTCTCTGGGCATACGTCTGATTGCAGCTAGGCCATCATGGGGGACGAGATCTTCCCGGATGAGGTGATGGAGATTCGCGCCCAGATGACCAAGCGCTACAGAGAGCCATTGGGCTTTAAAGCCGACTCGCTTTGGAGAGGCAGCAGTGGAGAGATCAAGCCCAAGTAAGTGGAAGTCAGGCTGCAAACATATATCATCATCTAAACCCTAAACCCTCAGGGAACCTAATTCTGTCACAACGACCTGCACGTATTGAAACTCGCCTGGCTTCTCCGAGTAAGGAGAGCATAAACCCCACTGTAAACCCTACTAGCCAGTGAACCTACGGCACAATCTGGACCTGGACCGTCCTGGACCTGAGGCGAGTCAACAGTGAGATCAACGATGCCGGTGGCCTCATGTACATGGGCAATGCTCGTCTCATCCAGGGGGTGGCAGCCCCAGACACGGTTTAGGGCTTAGGCTGTAGGAGACTCGCCAGAACGGCATAAAGCCTAAACCTGAAACTCCCCAGAGGGAAGTGAGAAGGAAGTGAGACGGCAATCTGCGTGTATGAGGACATCTGCATAGACAGCTCCAGCTCATCGTGAGAGTTTGCACTGCCAAAAGAGGCCGTTTAAACACCTACAGCACGGCAACCTGAAACCGCAAAGCCTGCCAAACCTTAAACCTCATAGAACCGCCAATAATGGCCCATTATAGCAATCCTGCAGCTCGCCAGGTGATAACAATTCTCTTCTTCGGTGTGCTTTATGTGGCCGACTCAGTGGATGTAGTGCGACAAAATGTCTCCAAGACTTCATAGTCTAATAGGTATACTACTATCAGAAAGAATGTTCATGTTCATCATCATCAGAAGAAGAAACCATTGATAATGCTAGCAGTACTTTCAACAATGATGGCAGCAATTTCAACCATCATAGTAAAACTTATGGCAGTTGTAGCAACAGTAGTGATGAAAGGATATCTGAATGTCATGTCATTGCTTGTCTCTGTTAAGGCTACTACTGGAAGTAGGATTGCTGTTCTTCCTATTGTTGTGTTAACACCTAGTGGTTTATGAGTGCCCACAGGGTCCCTTATTCCTTAAAACTGTTGGATCTCCATTGCTATTTTCCTACATGTATGAAAATGGGGCCCAGTTTGCATCTTGTTCTTGGGGGAGCTGGGATGGTTATGTCCTGATGTCGGTGCAGCTGTGAGTTGATTTCCAGTTGAATGCCATGGGCGATGTGTACATGAAGACTATCATGACCGCATGTCTGCAAGTAGCGAGGTAACTGCAAGTCTCTGATCCTTCGGTCCTTCTTGAGGCAGTCGCGGGGAAAAGGTGGGGAGGGTTTGGTATTCTCTGGTGGCGAACCGAAGCAGCCGGAAGTGCTGAGGCGCTTAGCAACACCGACCAAACGACTCTCGTGAAGCTTCTGATGCCACCGCAGAGCCGCGGCTTCTGAAGCAACAAGGCCTACAGTAGTACCCTCAGTAGTAGTAGTAGTAGTAGTAGTAGCAGGAGTAGTAGTAGTAGTAGTAGTAGTAGACTTGCAGTGGGGGCCTCTTGCCAGCGGAGATGAAAAGGAGAAGGCGAAGTATTTGCAGCACTCTTGTCGTAGTTGTGAAACTTCTACCTGCAACTACTGTGGCAGTTATGGCTGAAGAAATCAAAGCATGGTGTATGTAGCTTCAGAAGCTGTGCTTGTACAGTCCGCAAGATGTTGTTTGACTGATTTCAAGGTGCAACATCTGATGTGCTTGCGTGTTTTCCCTCGTGGGCACTCGAGTGGCGCGATTCAAGCGCTAAATGTCACCAGTTTTCTAGAGCTCTTTGCAAGAGCACATACTTGATGGCTTCAACTCGCCACGGGAAAGAAAGCAGCAACGTAGCTTTCAGGAAAGAACCTCCGAGTGAGAGAGAGAGAAGCCTCGTCAGTTTGTGCCTTGCTCCGCCCAGTTTTCTGCATCGGACTCTGATGCTTGGCCTCGGTACTGCATGATGTGGAAAAGCTGCTGGATTTCTGCGCAGCTCTGAACATGCAGACTGATCAGTGGCCCAAGCGTGGCCAAGTTGTAAGCACCTTCTGAAGCAAGGAACACCCGTTCGGCAGGGAAGAGTAGGAAATCCTAAACCCCAAACCCCTTTTCCTGAAAGCCCTATAAATCCCCCAAACCCACAAAACCCGAACCCCAAACCCCCCCAAACCCAAAAAAAAACCCTAAACCCCTAGAGAAGTGCCAGGAGGCATCTTTCGAACCCCGAAAACCGACACCCCGGCTGAAGGCTCCCGGTCTCTTCTTACTGGCCAACCTGGGCACACCTCTTTCGAGGGTTTCGGGGTTTAGGGTTTAGGGGTTTATGGTGTAGGGCTTTAGGGTTCAGGGTTTTGGGGATTTTTTTCAGTCAATGGGGCACCTCGGTTTAGGGGTTTAGGAGTCTAGGGGCCTGAACCCAGAGAGCCCAACACACCTTAATTAAGGAATATACCTTAAATCATAATAATTCAGGCCCCTATAATTTAAGGCTATATTCCTTAATTAAGGGGTGTTGGGCTCTCTGGGACCTGGGAACAGGTCAACAAAAGCCTCGGTCCAAGCCCTAAAACCTAAACCCTAGACCCTGAACCCCTAAACCCTAAACCCCAAACCCTAAACCCTAAAACCCTAAACCCCTAGACCCTAAACCCTAAATTCCTAAGCCCTTAAACCCCCAAACCCCTAAACCCTAAACCCTAAACCCCTAAACCCCAAACCCTAAACCCTAAGCTTGAAGCAAGCCAGGCTGGAGTGGCGAGGCAGCCTCCATCATCGGCCTCCTCTCCAAGGTGCTGGTGGAGGCCACGTGGGAGTTTCCGAAAATAAGGGAGGTTTAGGGTTTAGGGGGTACCTTATTTGGGGTCCCTATAATAAGGCTCCTACTATTTAGGGTACTATGTTAGGGTCCCCTATTTTCGGAAACCCCCCACTTGGGTATTCCTTAAGAATGTCGGGCCCCTTACTCAGGGAAAGGGCCTTTCTTGAGAGCAGGCGTTCGAGCAAGTTAGGGTCTAGATCCAAGTTTTGCGAAATTTGACAAGTGCCTGTGGACAGAATAGGTTTTAGGGTTTTAGGTTTAGGGGTTAGGGTTTTTGGGTTTAGGGCTTAGGGTTTCCTGACAGATGTCCTCCTATCGGAAGCTGGAGGGCTTGCTACGCCTCTGCAACTCAGTTAAAGCACTTGTACTGTACCCTAGAGTGCAGAAGCCTGAATCCGTGGCAAAACTATGTTTAGGTGCTCCTTATCATGCAACTTTATGGTATGATCCACCATTCAAATCCTGCTCCGAAGTATTAAGGCCCGAAGCTGTCCTATACCCTAAACCCTAATCCCAAAAGGCTGTACCCTGCAATGGGCTCGTCCTAGCAAGGTGGGAGGCAACAAAAACCCAAAAGGCCTGTTAGGGACCTTAATGTAAGTTACCATAATAAAGAAACCATAATAGTTATTTACTATAGATCCCCATTATGGTAGCTTAAATAAACAAATCCCTTAACAAGGCCTCAACACGAGTTGGCCTTTTCGACCTTCCGAGGAACACCTCGCTTGCCGTCTCGCAGTTGTGCAGGCTCCCCTGCGACCAGGGGGGGTTCTTATTGGGGGACCCAAAAACGGACATAATAAGGATGAATAAGGGGGTTTATGGGGTTCTTATTAATTAGGGACCCAAAAGGGACATAATAAGGGGGTCTATATGGGGTATTCCTATCCTAATTTTTGGTGATGTGCTTTTTTGGGTTAAGAATCACGCGCCCCTCATGTATGCTCCTCTCTAAGCCCTGAGCCCTGAAACCGTCATCATACAATCATGTAGCAAGGATCCGACTGGTCTGAGGTCGATCCGAGGGGTTCCTTGCTTTCTGAAGCTCGCATTGGGCTTCAGGTTTCGTTGTTATGGACGTGGGGCATGCGAAAAAAACGGTGGTCATATCTTGGGTATCCCACTCTCACCAAACAACGATAGAACAAGTAGCTTGAAGGGAACCTTCTTCGAGGTGGGCGCGAAATGCCTCGAAGAGTGGGGGGGGAGACCAGGGTTTAGGAGGTTGCACGGTTTGTGGGACTGAGGTTTCACATGCAGATGCACGTGCGGGAGGTTTGTCATGTTTCACCGTAACCTGCCCGAAGCATAAGCTCATAATAGTCGCAGAGATTTCAGAATGCCAAGCTGCGTGTCGAGAAACATGCTTGTCTTCGCAGGCAAGGGAGATCAAACATGTCCCAGTGCGATGTTGCAAGATTTTTGTGGCAAAGGCCAAAGGCTGCTACTCGTCGTTTTTTTATAGTCATACAGTGACACGTAACGCTGGACTAGATTGTGGGCAGACGCTGATAGCAGGTGTGCCCAGGAGTGGACACAGCAAACCACACTCTCCTCCCGGTGCCATGACAAGCCCACCAGCGCGCGGTCGCTCGCGTGCCCTTGCGGGTTTCGTCCCGGTCTGAGGACGGAGCTGTGTTCAGGTCGTCAGTGACGAACTTGTAACCAGCCAAGACGCAGCTTCCACTCCCCGGAAGTAGGGCTCAGACGGAATCGCTTCTACCCAGGCAGTGCTGGCTGTCATGATGCAGTGGCACAGGCAGGGGGTTGGTGTGCGGGGACACCTGACACTCGCACCGAATGGTGGTGTTCACATTGACAGAATCGGCCTTGGCGCTGTCAGGGCCACGACTCCGGCCTTTTTGGCGCCAGGGGCCCCCACCCTGGGCCGCCGCTTTGCCCTGGCAGCTGCCCTGGCACCCGTGCTTCAGCCCCTGGGCAAAGCAGGGCGACTCCTGTGGGCAGGGAGGGTCTGAACAGAGGCTTCAAGAGAAATGGGTGTTGCAAAAATCAGGCGTGAGGAAAATCCTGGCTTTTTTTGGGGAGCGAGGGGGATGATGGACGAAGTACAGCACCATTTAAAATCGGGTCGCAATCCAAGCGCGGACCACCAGAAACACTGTTCGTCGTCACGGACGGTAGGTGGCGCATGCGTGCAAAGACACACGGTAGGCCACCAGGCACCACGTAGAAGGGTATTCCATAATCAAAGACTTAGCAAGGGGCCGAAACGTACCTCAGAAACCCTAAAGCAGCCGTAGCAAGGCCCAGCGTCAGCCGGGCCCAGCTGACTTCGGTGCCCGATTGGCAGGGTGGCATGGCCGACCTAAGATGGGATTCTTGCTGGTTTCAAGTTTTAGGCTTTGGGGCAGTTCAAACGATTCGGGGTCGGCATAGGGTTCACTGCCTTGGAGCCACTCATTCCAGCGGCATTTAGCTGTTGTCTTTCGCGAATGCCACTCGAGGTTCTTATGAGGACCCCGACCATCCGGGCTGCAAGCGGGAAGTGCGCGTTGAAGGCATGAAGGCAGCACCGCAGAGAGAGGGTTCGAGAAGACAAGCATCTACATGCGTCCTTGTGGTTTGCGTGCATGCAGAACTGAATACCCATAGGCTCCTAAGTAGTTCCTTTTTGTGGTTTAGATTTAGAACCCTATAAGGTAATCCCAAAAAGGAACTACTTAGGAGCCTATGACTACTTCAAAGGTTGGAAGCGTCAGATTGGCAAAGGTCACCATCGACGCGGCGGAAGGGAAGCCGGGCTGCGGGAACGGCGAGAAGGAGTGCGCATCACTGGGTTCTTGTTAAGGGATTTGTTTATTCAAGTTGCCATAATGGGGATCTATAGTAAATAATTTATAAAATAACTACTATGGTTTCTTTATTATGGTAATTAACTAACATTAAATCCCCTAACAAGAGCCCAGATCAATGTAGCTTCGGTTTAGCACGCGAGGACGAAGGCGAACAGCTCTTATAGAAGCCCAATAGCGGACGAAGTGCAAAACAGTGGCGGGTCAGTGGTTCGCCAGAAGTATCCTAGGTAGGATTAGGGAGACCCCTTTAAAGGGGACCCTTCTTAACCCTTCTAGTGGCCCTCTTAAAAGGGACCTTATTGAGAGGGTCTATATCCCCAAAGGGTCCCCCTAATCCTAACTCCTAAATTAAGCCGCATTTGTGACCCAGAGTGTGAATAACTGATGAGGCATGGAATGCGTGCTTAATACAGACAGGACTGAGTGTAGGAAGGGAAAGTTGTGGGCAGTGAATGAGCTGCTGTATGCCGACGCCTGAATGCTGGGCGAGTTAATGTTTCCGCCAATTTGCGACCGTCGTACCAGTAGCCCTCGCCAAGGCAAATCCGAGTGTGAGTGCTGAATTTAAGCTGCAGTAATGTGGCAGGTAACCCCGCCAAAAGCCACCCTTAGATCAAGCGAAGCTATGTAGAAACCATCAAATACTATCATACAACTTTTGTAGTAGCCCTTGTAACTTGTGTAACCCCAGCTATACTAAAACCCTAACACCCCCTAAACGCGTAAACGCCAAAATCCCTAAACCCTAAACCTCTAAACCCTTAAACCCTTACACCCTAAACCCCTTAGGCCCCCAAATCCCTAAACCCTTAAACCCTAACCCCCAAAATCCCTAAACCCCTAGACCCCTAATTAGACCCTTAAACCCTAAACCCTTCTAGAGCCATCAGAAACCCTAAACCGTAAACCCTTCAACCCTAAACCCAAAAATCCCTAAACCCTTAAACCCAAAATCCCCAAACCCCTATAGAGCCATCAGCCCTGAACCCTAAGCCCTTTTCGAGCCATCAGAAACCCTAAACCCTAAACCCTGTCCAGGAGCGGCCCTGGAGCGTCACAGGCAAGCTGAGCCTGGCGGCCTACAACGCATCTTCGCCTTGGAAAGAGGGCTTGGGGCTTAGGGAGTTTAGGGCTTAGGGTTTAGGGAATTTAGGGAAAAGGGAGTTTAGGGTTTAGGGGGCTCGAGTGCGATGTGCTGCGAGGGATCTGGCCGGGCGAGCTCAGTTCAAGCCTGTGGAAAAGGGGGCTAGGGTTTAGCGTGCCTTGGAAAGAGGGCCTCAATATTTCGGGAGCTTAGGGTTTAGGGGGCTAGGGTTTAGGGTTCAGGGTTCTCAGATAAGGGTTGCGGGTTTAGGGGTTTACGAGTTGGTGCACGCAGAGTAGCAGACGCCTCATCTTTGAGGAGATGATTCTGGACTTCCGGACCCGCGGAGGTCCTGAACGCCTCATAGCTTTGCGTCTGCACTGGCATGCTGCTTTCTTTTTGTTTTTTCTGTCTTGGATGTGTGCAGTTTGCAAGCAGGGACTTGAACTCGGGACTCTGTCAGTGTTGGCGTAACATGGAAGGACATGTTTGCTTTGGATGCTATCGGAATGTCTGATCTGAAGGGAAGAAGCTCATAAAAAGGACCCTCAAAAGTACCCGATGGGACAGTAGCCTTATGGAAGCCCTATGCACAGGCGTGGCAACAGAAGCCCTGGAAGCTCGAACACCCATGGGTCTTCCCCCAAACTTGCGCCGAGCACCACCTGAGGCCACCTGGGAAAACAACGCCATACGCTTTCCGGAGGGTCAGTTTGAGGGGAAGTGGACGAAGAAAGCCACGCTGCCATAGCCATAGTCATCGAGTCAGAGTTAGAGGTAGTGAAAGCAATGTTTATGGTGCGGCGCTGGCTTAGAAGTGAAGATATTATTTGATTGTGTTTAAGTTGCTTATGTTGAAAAAGTTGAGGAGACGGGATGTTGGTGAAAGGTGTGAGGACCGAACTCGAGTATCGTTCGTGTTCTCACCAGCCATACTCTGCTCCATGTTTTCAGGCGGCTCTGATCAAAAACAGCCGCCTCATACGGCATTGACCCATAGACTGCATCATCCTCTGGCCGCCCGCGGCCCCTTCGAAAAAGGGAGCTCGAATGCCGTGCTTCTGCTGTGAAAAGATCAATCCATCGCTGAAAAGGGCTTGGCACCATTGTCTAGCAAGTGCCCCCGTATTGTGGAATCTTACTGGCTGAGCCAAACCGTGGCGATTTGAAACTGCAGACTTGCGGACAGACCCGGCCTCCCGCAAACGTAGAAAGGTCCAAGCAGCAGCACCAGCTGGCAGGTGCTGCCGGCCATGTGGTCCGATGTCGCTTCGATCGTGGGTCCCAAGCGCGAAGGGGGCGATCCCTTCGCAGGCCGCATCACCCAGAAAGATTCTGGAGCAGGATGAGCCGGCCCGTTTGCCGGCTCGACATGTTGAGGATAGTTCTCCGGCTTTGCCAGGCTTGCGGGGCTTCTATCGCCTGTTGGCTGCTGCACGCCGGGTGATTGCCGGGCGCACGCCAGGCAGCGTTGCAGCATTTGGCTTGGTCGGCATTGGCTTCTTATTTTTGGGCAGACCACTCGCGGACGGCGTAAGACCCTACCAGCTTCAGTGAGCCCTGAACCTGCATTCCTGGCTTCCTTGGAAATCCTTCTTCTGTCCCTTCCCTCGTGCATCTTCTAGCAAAAGCCTACCTCCGGACACATTGAATGCTAAATCCTCAGCCAACTCGACAGCCCCCGCCACGGCGTGAGAGACGAAAGCTTAAAACCCTGTCCCTCGACCCTTCTTCTTGTTTTCATTGTTATCATTCGTACTGTTATTGGCCTTAGCATTGCTTATTTGTTCATTATTCTTCTCATCATGCATTGCTGCCAGTATTGTTGCCTTATCTTGTCTTAATTGTTTTATCATCAGAATCATCATGATACTTATAAATATAAATATAAATATAAATATAAATATAAATAAATAAATAAATATATATATATATATTAGCTACAATTTTTCTTAGTTGTTCGCTTCATGTTCAATCTATATATTACGACGACTACTACTCCTACTGCTGCTACTACTGCTACTACTGCTACGACTTCTACTACTACTACTACTACTACTACTACTGCTACTCCTACTCCTACTCCTACTGCTACTGCCACTGCCACTCCTACTCCTACTCCTACTCCTACTCCTACTCCTATTCCTCCTCGTATTTCTACTACTACTACTACTACTACTACTACGACGTCGACTACTACTAC